AGAATCTCCCTAATGTTATTTCTAATGATTTTTGTTATTCTTGTCTTCCCAACTAAACTGTAAGCTCCTTGAGGACAATGACCACATATCATACTTTATTTGTATTCTCCACAGTCTAGTCCTTGTTTAGTCCTGCTGTGACCACTTTCCTCAACAAATTTTTTAGAGGAATATTTGAAACTTGCAGGCTACTATTGCTTTTGTTTTTTTATTAATTCTAGAAAGCATTGTCTAAAGATCAGTTACAATCTTTTAGAGTAAGTTACCATACTTACATAAATCTCAATTGATAATTAGAATACCAATGGTTAGAGCCACATTAGACAAAACTGTGAACTGAGCAAATATGTTTCTTTAAGACAGATTTTTAGTGCTCATACTATCGATAACTGCACTGGGCCTTCCACCAAGGCAATTGCTTGAGAAACAGTGTTGTGTGTGTGAGAGAATATTGATCAGGAAGTTTCTCCCTACATTTCAGGACTGAAGGAGAGGGAAAACCCAGAGCTAAGAGTGGCCTATAAATTGTACCAGTCAAGTTAACTCATGACTAGGCTTGCATTGTTACAGTAAGAAATACAGTGTGGGTTTTATGAATTTGTTCCTATGTTTTTGTATTTCCTTTAGTTCGCTTTAAGGGGTGCCTGGGTGGCTCAGTTGGTTAAGCATCGGACTCTTGATCTCAGCTCAGGTCTTGATCTCAGGGTCATGAGTTCAAGCCCCATGTTGGGTTCTATGCTGGCCATGGAGACTACTTAAAAAAAAAAAAGTGGCAAAAATCCTAAATAAGGGTAAAACACATGTATCACCTTAGAGGTGAGGGTAAGGGAGAAGAAGCCAAGTGTTCTGAGCATCTGCCCGAGCTGGTGACCAATGAAGAAAGTAAACATACCTTTTTATTTTTATTTATTTATTTATTTAATTTACTTTTTAAAAAAGATTTTATTTATTTACTTGACAGAGAGATAGAGAAAGAGCACAAGTAGGCAGAGTGGCAGGCATAGGGAGAAGGAGAAACAGGCTCTCCGCTGAGCAGGGAGACTGATGTGGGGCTCTCTCCCAGGACCCTGGAATCATGACCTGAGCTGAAGGCAGAAGCTTAACCAACTGAGCCACCCAGGTGCCCCTTTTATTTATTTATTTTGAAAGACTTTATTTATTTATTTGAGAGAGAGTGAAAGCGAAAGAGAGTAAACATATTTTTTAAAGAATTAATTATTTATTTGAGAGAGAGCCCAGGTGCGGGGAGGGGCTGAGGGAGAGGGAGAAGCAGACTCTCCACTGAGCAGGGTGCCTGACACAGGGCTTGATCCCAGGACCCTGGGATCATGACCTGAGCCAAAGGCAGATGCTTAACTGACTGAGCCACCCAGGTGTCCCAAAAGTAAAAATTAAGAAGTGAATGGTACTGCTAATATCTTATTCTGTTCTTCCTAGATATTTTTTTGCAATTAGTTTTGGGTTTCTTAGTCTAAAATAAGTTTGGGGGCACCTGGCTGGCTCAGTCAGTAGAGCATGCAACGCTCAATCTCAGGGTCGTGAGTTAAAGCCCCATGTTGGTCATGGAGGCTACTTAAAAAAATAAGAAAATAAAAGTTTGGGAAGATCCAGTAAAGTACACATTTAGGTATTAAATATAAACAATCTAATGGAGCTCCATTCTCTGGATGCTTGCATTTTAATGGGTGATTTTGCTTTAACCAAAAGCAAATTCAATTTGCTTCCTTTGGGTAGAGAGCAAGGTGGAATGAAGGAAGAAGTGAAGAGAACAATTATGATAAGGCTCCGGATCTTTTTTAACTAAAGCAGTTTTGTGTTTTTCCGTTTGTTTATGCTTCCCTGTAAACTATCTTTGATCAAAAAATTATGAAGCTAAAAATGTGTGAAAAAAGGGGCACCTGGGTGGCTCGGTCATTAAGTGTCTGCCTTAGGCTCAGGTCATGATCCCAGGGTCCTGGGATCGAGCCCCGCATCGGGATCCTTGCTCGGCAGGAAGCCTGTTTCTCCCTCTCCCACTCCCCCTGCTTGTATTCCCTCTCTCACTGTGTCTCTCTCTATCAAATACATAAAATCTTAAAAAAAAAAAAAAGTTTGAAAATATTTAACCATATATCTTCAGGCCTTATTTGACAGGAGAAAAGGTATTTTAAGTCAAGAGAATCATCCTAGCTCCTCTCAAAATCACTGTACTGTAGATGACTACCTTACTTATGGGTGAAGATAGCTGAGATCTGGTGCATGCTCAGTAGGTGCTTTCTTAATATATTTGACTACCGCAATTATGCTCAGCCATTTGCAAATTTCTATCAATATAGGACCTTGCTCAGAGAACAATCAAGTATTTAGTCTTCATGTCCATGGCTAAGAAATGAAGAAACTGTAGTGGGGGGAGCTGTTCCTGTAACAACTGACAGAGCAGACATGTTGGGAGGTAACCAGGTTGTGTTATGGAAGTCCTCCTTCCCTACTCTCTCTGATTACCTTTGTGACCTTGTCTCTGTTTTAGGGTGCTTGTGGTGCTTGTTGGGCTTTCAGTGCTGTGGGGGCCCTGGAAGCACAGCTGAAGCTGAAAACAGGAAAGCTGCTGTCCCTGAGTGCACAGAACCTGGTAGATTGCTCAACTGAAAAATACAGGAATAAAGGCTGCAATGGTGGCTTCATGACAGAGGCTTTCCAGTATATTATTGATAACAAGGGCATCGATTCAGAAGCTTCCTATCCCTACAAAGCTATGGTGTGTCACAAACAAACTTTTTTGGGTCTTCATGTTATCCCTTGATTAACTGAATTAAACTCACAACCAAGCCAATCGCTTGAGAAGCAGTGTATGAAAATCCTGATCAGGAATTCTTAAATTTTCAAGAGTTCGCTTCCTTATTCAGTAGTCTTCTTAATTCATCAGTGGCACAATGGTTTTAAGCAAGTAGAATTCATGAAAAATGGATTTTCAGTAAACCTAAGAATTCTTTCTGTTCATCTGCTTGGTATTTCAACTTGTTTTTCCTATGGCCTCCCATGCTCAACCTTATTCTCAGATCATCAACCACATCATTCTCCTACCTACTAAAAAGCTAAATAATGCTCTCTTCTTTCTCCTCACAAGTTCATGACATATTTTGTTAAATGAATTAATATATCCATATTACTGAAAATTTAGAAAATATAAAAATACCACTCCAAAACCTCCTACCTTAATCACCATTATTTTGGTTTATTTCTTTCAAGTTTTTTGTCCTATTAAGCATTTAAAAAACCATACATATATGCACAACAAAAGTGAATTTATAACCTCTCTTTTCCTACTAAAATATGCACTCTAAGTGTTTTTCAGATTATATGGTCTTTATAAACCATAATTTAAACTGCAGATCATCTTGCACACATTATATCATCAAAAAGACTTTAAAGAAGTTCTAGTATAGAGTTTATGATCTTTACATAGTATACCCCTACAATCCACCTGAGAGGGACATTATCCAGCAACTTTTGCATGCATGAAGATGTTCACAACTTAAAACAATATAATCGTTATGTATTTCCTCTGTTACTGGTGAAACATGGAACTCTTAGGGTTTTGGAAGATTTGATTTTTCTTCCTTTAAAAGGAAGAAGGAACCTTAGACATCTGAAAGGCTAAATGAGGAAAGAAAGCATATTTGAAATCCAGACTTAGGATGTTGGTGATATAAAGGAAGTTGAAGTATACTTCTTTATCTGATTTATACCTTTTTTTGCAGGATGGAAAGTGCAGGTATGACTCAAGAAATCGAGCTGCCACATGTTCAAATTATATTGAACTTCCCTTTGGCAGCGAAGATGCCTTGAAGGAAGCTGTGGCCAATAAAGGACCTGTGTCTGTTGCTATTGATGCAAAACAGTCTTCTTTCTTCCTGTACAGAAGTGGTAAAAACTCAGATGTGCTATCTTCTTATTATATGCTGCCCCTGCACCATAAGAAAGAATATTATCCTTCCTCATCACCCCACCTCTGAATGTTCAGGTTAAACAGAATCCTTCATTTCATATATGTATTTTATATCCAGTTCTAATTAGTACTAATTAGTACAAAATTTCCTAGTACTATATGCCAAGTACTATGATAAATTCTTTCCATGCAGTATCTTATTTAATCCTCACAATAACCCTATTTTACAGATGAACAAGTCTTAGACGGTTAACTTGCCAAAAGTCATACAGTCTGGAAGTGGTCAGCTAGGCTTAGAAACCATGCAACGTTGACTCCAGAGCCTGGGCTCCTAATCCCTGGAGCCACTGTGCACCGTAGGTGCAGCGCTACGGGATACAAGGAGGGCACCTGCCAGTGTTAGAGCATTGTGTTAAACCAAGTAAATGGCTATACTGTTTTATTTAAAAAAAAAAAAAAAGCCTCACCCAAAGATCACTTCATCTAGTGAAGAATAAAAATATACAGAATAAACAATTTAGGAATATATACAAAGAAATACAGCAACTGACGTAACTGACTCTATATAAATTAAAAATGGTTAGAAAAAGGGGGCGCCTGGGTGGCTCAGTCAGTTAAGCATCCAACTCTTGATTTCAGCCATGTCATGATCTCAGGGTGGTGAGATCGAGCCCCGTGTCAGGCTCCACACTCAGCACAGAGTCTGCTTGGGATTCTCTCTCTCCCCCCCCGCCCCTCCTCCCGCTCGTGCTCACTCGCGGTCTCTCTCTCTCAAATAAATAAATAAATAAAATCTTTAAAAAATAATTAGAAAAAGGTAGCTGTTTATCAAAGATTTCTGAGGGAACTGTGACTGGATCAATGCCAAACTTGGCAAGAAAACCAATAAATACAGAATTGATGGCAAAGAATTATGAACTCCACATAGTTTAATGAGAGTGTATGTTCCTAAAATCATAATTCAACTTGCTGGTCATGTATATAAAACAGTCTACTAAAAGCAATAGCATTTTCAAATGTCCTTATTGTCACATACCGTTCACTCTTTTTCTCCACCTATATTTTATTCTCAGGTGTCTACTATGACCCATCCTGTACTCAGAATGTGAATCATGGTGTATTAGTGGTTGGCTATGGTAACCTTAATGGGAAAGATTACTGGCTTGTGAAAAACAGGTAATATATTTGCACTTTAGTGCATATTTAATTAAAATAAGGAATTCGGTGGTGCTTCAACAAATGCTTTGCTGTGATTATGATGATGATGATTATGATAATGACAATGATAAACATTTACAGCTTCTTATAAAGTGACATTCTAAATTAATTACTCAGTGCCCCCATTTCCTCACTTCCTATTCTGGCTTCCGCAGTTTGTTTTCATGATTTTTCTTCTGGAATACTTCTCTGACCGTTCCTTCTCAGTCTCCTTTATAAATATCTATTCCTCTGCTTAGCCCCCAAATGTTGGTCTTTCCTCTGGGGCTCCATCCTTTGCCCATTACTCTTCTTAGCCTACATTTTTCTTGTGATTTTAGCCATAGCCTATATGCTGATAGCTTTCAAAGCTCAAGCTCTAGCTCTATCCTCTGCCCTGAAATTCGGACTTATTTATCTGGACATATCCACTTCCATGTATCTTAGTTTCTCCAAACTCAGTATGTCCAAGGAATTCAGTACCCTCTCTACCATATTGTGTCCTTCCCCAGAACTTCCTGTCTCACCAAATGGCAATAACACACAACACAGTCACCCAATTAGACACTATAGATTTGTTGTAGGCCAGATCTAATCAAGCAACAAGTCAAACTAATTTTCCACATATCTGTTCTCGCTTCTGTCGCCTCTCCATTTCTTCCATTATTGCTTTGGTTCAGACATCTCTTGCCTGGACTATTCCTGTAGCCTTCAAGCTGGTCTCCTTTACTCTCAAATCCATCTTTTGTAAACTGCTTCCAAACTGGTATGTCTCATATATGACAAACTGGGCTTATAATTGTTCTACAGAGTACCATTTGGTATAAAATTAATGTTCCCTAGTGGAGAAGACAAGTCATCTATGTTGTGGTCCCTGCCTGGCTTGCCAGGCTCAATTGCTGGCACTTGTCTCACACTTTTCATTCCAGTTACATTGAACTATACACAGAGTTCCCATACATACCATTTTATCTTTAATATCTTCACAGCTTGGTTATGCTGTTCCCTCTGCCGGGAACATTCTTTCTCCTCACTTGGTTTATTTCTCCTTTTCCTTCAAAACCAGCTAAGGTGTTCTCTGTACCAGAAATTTCCTTCTAAATCCTTGGGCTGAGTAAAATGTGTTTTTTCTATGTTCCCAAAATGTCTTATGCATACTGGAGTATTTTATACATTATATTTAAATTGTATGTTTACCTATCTATGACTAGTATTCGGTATGCACCTTTGGGGTAAAGATCTGTATTGTCCTTGTGTCCTTAGCACAATACATGGCACACATAGAAGGTGGTAGTATTTGTATGTCCTATTGGGAAAGTAGTTGAGGAAACAACATCTTGGTTCACTTGTAACCTATTCACAGCACTGATCAGCTTGGGCCTGGACCAGTGATAATGTTTTTATATGAAGCAATATTTTCACTTACATCTTTTTTCTTGTTGACTTCCTACAGTATGTATTCTAACTTCCCTTCCCTATTGAAACTGCTCTTCTGGAAGACCATTTATATCTTTTAGTGTTTAAATTCAAAACCCCTTCTCAGCACTTACTCATTCAATGAACATTTACTAGGCATCTACAATGTGATGGGCATTATCTAGGCCCTAGAAATACAAATTAATGAGAAATCATCCTGTCCCAAAAAAGTTCACATAACAGTCCAGTGGGGAATTAGATATATTTTTAAAACAATAAAATACAACACATCACGGTATAATGATATATGTCTCAATGGCTATGGAGCCATAGATGAGGAGATGCCTAAATGCCTAAAAGTTTCACAGAGAAGGCGCTACTTATTTGCATTAAGTTTTCAGATGAGTGGAATTGCTCATGTGTTAGAGGAGGAAAATAAATGGTCCAATCACCTAAAAAGGATATACAATAGCACAGAAAAGTGAAAAATTCCTCTGCTTTATAAACTCTCTACTGCATTTATTTCTTTGGCATCAACGACATAAGACATAACACTATCCTGACTCATTTTGCTGTATCAGCTTTAGCCTCATTTCTTACTTTCTTCCACCTGTCCCTTATGCTCTCGCTCTAGCTGCTGTACTAACGCATACTCATCTGCAACTTTAGTTTCAACTATTGCCATTATGTGGATGAAAGCCAATTCACAAACTCTAAAAACAATCTCTCTACTAAGCAACGGACTTCCATGTCCAACTTCCACCTTGACAGCTTTGCTAAAAAATCCAAATTTCCAGGGCGCCTGGGTGGCTCAGTCAGTTAAGCAACTGACTCTTGGTTTCAGCTCAGGTTGTGGTCTCATGGGTTATAAGATCGAGCCTCAGGCCCGCAGCTGCCTGCCCTCCACACTCAGCAGGGAGTCTGCTTGAAGAGTTTCTCCCTCTGCCCCTCCCGCCACTCACGTGCTCTCTCTCTAATAAATAAATAAATCTTTTTTAAAAAATCCAAATTTCCAGGGGCGCCTGGGTGGCTCAGTCATTAGGCGTCTGCCTTCGGCTCAGGTCATGATCCCAGGGTCCTGGGATGGAGCCCCGCATCGGGCTCCCTGCTCAGCGGGAAGCCTGCTTCTCCCTCTCCCGCTCCCCCTGCTTGTGTTCCCTCTCTTGCTGTGTCTCTCTCTGTCAAATAAATAAATAAAATCTTAAAAAAAAAAAAAATCCAAATTTCCAGGTGCCTGGGTGGCTCAGTAGGTTAAGCATCTGCCTTCAGCTCGGGTCATGATCCCAGGGTCCATGGGAGTCCCATGTCAGGCTCCCTGCTAAGTTGGGAGTTTGCGTCTCCCTCTGCCCCTCCCTGCTTGTGTTCTCTCTCTCTCTCTCGCTCCCTCTCTCTCTTAAATAAATAAAATCTTAAAAAAAAAATGCAAATTTCCCACCTGCCTACCCTACTGCTACTCACAACACACACACTCTCTCTCTCAACAAGTCTAAATTCAAATTCCCTCTCTCCTTCCATCTAAACTTCCCTTCCACCCTCCACCCCTGAAAAGTATTTTAGAATAAGCCCAAGGGAAAATAATTCCCTATTTTGAGTAATGCATCACCATCTTCAGGTTATCAAAGCCTTGGTATCATCTTGGACTCTCCTTTCTCTCCTTCAATCCGTATAGCCCTGTCCATTCAGCCTTTGAATCATATTTTATATTTCTTTCTATTCCTGCTCTATTTCAGATTCCATTCTCACCCAGCTACGGAAGCATGTCCTTAAAATATAGATCATGTAAACCCATGGTCAAAAGTTCTGAATAGTTTACCATTGTCATCATAATGAAGTCTAAATTCCTAACCACGTGTTCAAGATTCTCCATTATCTAGTTTTCAACATAGCTTTCTAGACTTTTCTCCCCCTATGTTCTCATGCACCCATATTTACACTCTGGCCACAGTGAACTACTTACTCATCATTTCCTAAGTTTATAGACACTTAGCTATTTCTGTTTCTTTACTTGTGCTATTTTATCTTTCTGAAATGCCCTTAAAGCCCATTGCTGCCTACAGAAATCCCACCTGTCTATGGTGAAATGGGCACTTGCATACATTCCAGTGGAAGAATAAATTGTTAACAATCCTTCTTGAAAGCAATTCGATAATATGAATCAAAACCTTTTTAAATGTTCACATTCTTTGTCCAATTTTTTCTCATTTCTTTGAAACTTTATGAAGAAAATAATCCTAAATATGGGGAAAGCTTCATACCCAATTTATGTAAATTGTAGCATTCATTCTTCTTCTTTAATAGTGAAAACGAGTAAACAACCAAAAATGCCTAATAGGGACAATATTAAACTATTACACATTCAAGCCCATGTATTAGAAATTATATTTACTCAGACTATTATTAGTAACCTGATAAAATACTTGTAATAGATGTTTAAATGGAGAATACTGGGGCACATGGGTGGCTCAGTCGTTAAGCATTTGCCTTCGGCTTAGGTCATGATCCCAGGGTCCTGGGATCGAGCCCCACATTGGGCTCCCTGCTTGGCGGGAGGCCTGCTTCTCCCTCTCCCACTCCCACTGCTTGTGTTCCCTCTCTCACCGTGTCTCTGTCAAATAAATAAATAAAATCTTAAAAAAAAAAATGGAGAATGCCTATAAACATAAAATTTATATACAATATAAATATTAAGTTTAAAATAGCATGCCCAATTTCTATGATTTATGTTATACTAAAGGACCAGAAGGAATTATACCAAATGTTAATAATGGTTATCTTTGTCTACCTTTATGTATTTTCAAAAGTCTTTAACAAGTACCTTATTACTTTTAAAATGAAAAAATAAAACAAAAAAAAACCTCACTAAAAATCCTATTCATTCTTCAAAACCTACCTCACATGCCTTCTCCTCCATACCCCATTAATTTACTCAGAATGGTTTCTCTAACTTCTAAGCTTTAGAAATGCTTTATAAATTCTAGCTATTTCTGTAAAGCATGCTCCATCACTAGAATATAAACTTCTTAAAGGTAGAATAGTCCCTTATTCATTTTTGCATCTTCATTCATACCTTGATTCAACAAACATATACTGAGTACCAATCAAATGGCAGAGTGCAAAGCAGATTTGGCAATGAAAAATACAGACTTTCTATCATTCTTCACGTTATTCATAGTCTAATATCAGGAAAATGGGTAGGCGTATGTACTGACCATTGCAATAGAATGTGATAAACACTAAGATAAAGGGTAAAAGCACAGAGTACTTGGCCTAGCCTGGAAGTCAGGGAAGGCCTTTTAGCTAGGTTATTTGACTGAGTCTTAAAAGACAAGAAGGAATTTGCCATGTGAAAAAGAACAATCAGAGCAGAGGAAGCTAAATGTGCAAAAGCCCAGGGTGAGAAAAATAAATGAGTTAAGGGAACTGCATGTTCTTTTATAAAGGTTGTAGTATAGAGTGACTGTTAGAGAAGTGAGATCGAAAGGGACCAAATTATAAGAGACCACAATGATCGCTGGCACTGAGTACTAACAAGGAGAGACTGGACATGGACATGAATTCCAGAC